GTACACCTTAGAAAGATTTCCATGAAAAAGCTAAAATAATACAATTTCACATACTTAAAGTGCTAACACTGTGCTATGCAGATAATTGGATGTCTAACATTCTGGACAGTTGAGATTCTTTTGTACTTTTGATGTGTTATGGATCAAAAAATCTCTGGCCATATCAGGGACACCAAATATCACTCAAGCTCTGTACTGAGGCTGGAGGGTGTGGGCCACATCTTTAACTTCACGTGTAAGATTAGGAAGGTGGACTAAATAGATTTCAAGTTGACTTCCATTTCCAAATATGCCTGAGTCAACAAGCCTGTGCAAAAGGGACTTTTGGGGTCTTTGGGTTCCCCACTGGGACCAGTCCATGCTGCTTGTGGGTGATGTGGTTTGGTGGATAGGTGAACAGCCTCAGAAGAAGGGTGTTAGTTGATCTGCATCCTTCACCTGAAATGCCTACATCCTGTTCAGTTCATCACTTTCCTTCAAGATCCCAGCAAGGTCTTCTTTGGCAAGCGTGCCCTCCTGTGACTTGGGAAGGACACATTATTTTATTATGGTTGAGAAGATGGATTTGTGTTGCTACAATGTCTCTTAAAAGATCTTCGCTGAGCTTATCTGAGGTGAGATCAGCCCCTGGAAGTTCTTTTCCTCCTTTGGGAGAGAAGTCACCCCTCTCTGCTTGTAAGAACCAGCCCAACTGCTGCAAAAACAAATTCCAGGGGACGCTGTCGATGCTGTCTTGGTAGAGAGAAGATATTTGCCTCTGTTCCTGGAAGCTGTGAAGTCGAGTTGAGCTGGAGTTGAAAATACAATCTAAGAACAATAGTTTTGGGGCCATAGGAGCAGGAAATGTCTCAGTAGAAAAAAAAATTTTTTTTTCCTTCTCCTCACACCAGTCCTCCGTGGTCTCCTGTTGCCCAGGTTGTTAACTTTTAGCTGGCAGTCTAGTGTGGGGAGCCTGCGGGGTGGGTGGGAGAGGGTCTGCAGAGCTGGTTCACCCTGGACTCCCTATGCCTGTGGTAAAGTGTACTGTCAGAAAGTCACGGGTGAGAATCCGTTTTGTTACTAGATTCACACATGCGGATGAGATGCGACTGTAGGCATGATTAGTCGGCTGTGCTGGTGCAGCTGCTGAATCTTTGTTTTTTACCCACAGTCCTGAAAAACTCATTTAAATCTTGAGAACAAGTAAAACATTCATTTCTCAAATTAGATAATTAAGCTCTTCCTTACACACACACAGCAAAACAAAACAGACACCGTCAGTTCCCAGCCCTCCAGAAGCCAAATTCTATTTCTCGAGGAGCCATTTGTCACTTTGACCTTCTGGGAGGAAAAATACCTTCTCCTGCCAGGTTTCTGGGCTGGAGGATCGGGTCCTGGAGCAGCTGTCCTCTGGAGGAAAGGCCACTCGAGACCCCATCTTCGCTGCTGCCTTGTCCTTGGCTGGTGATGGGGATGAGAACCAACAGTTACCGAGGACACGTCGTTGGCTGGGCACTGCTCCATGTGCTTTAGGCATTGTCTCCTGTTTCCCTCACAATCATTGTAGGGTGGGGTTAGAGATTGTGATTTTACAAGGAAGCTGAGTAAACTAACTCTCCCCAGGTCAAGAAGCTCACCTTCTAATCCAGATCCCAGAGCCTGTGCTGTTCACCTTGATGTGGCAGGCTGCCTCCCGAGATTATCTTCATGCGGCCAGATGACTTCCAACACTTCTTCTTAGAGACAGACCCCTTTATCCAAAGGGAGTCTTGGCCAAAGCAGAAAAATAACGCCAAAGAGAAGGGAGGGGCTGTGGCAGGAGCAGGAGTGGGCAGGGGTTGGTTCTGTGCCTCCACCCCTCCCTCCACATTTCACAGCTCTCCAGTCCTGGGGCACCTAGGGACGCGTTCCTCTTCTGAACCGGCCCTTCCTCGGCCTTGGCTTCTCTTCTCTCTAGTAGATCCGAGTTATTAAATTGTCCATCCTCATTACTCATGGATTCTGTATTTGTGAACTCGCCTACTTGCTCAAATTTATTTGTAACCACAAATCAACATTCCTGGGCTTTGTGGTCATTTGTGGACAAGCACAGAGGACTGAAATTCACCCAAAGCACACGTTGCCCTCTGAGCAGCACAAGGGGACTCTCTGCCTTCTCATCTCAGTTTTCATACTGTTAACAAGCTTTTTTTGGGGGAGGGGGGTCTCTTTGGTGCCATGTTTTTCAAAATTTTGTGCTTTTTGTTGGTGATTTCACTGTTAAAAATGCCCCCAAGCATAGTGCTGAAATGCTATCTAGGGTTTCTCAGCTCAAGAGGGCTGTCATGCGCCTTACAGAGAAATATGTGTGTTAGACAAGTTTTACTCCGGTGTGAGTTATAGTGCTATTGGTGTGAGTTCCATGTTAATGAGGCAACTGTATTAGATCTATATTATATAGTATGTTAAATAAAGCGTCTTTAACTAGAAACACACATGAAACAACATTATGTATCAATTGGTAGACAAATGTCGTGACCAGAGGCTCACAGGAACCCAACTCTGTCTTTCCCCAGGAGCCCCTAGAATTTGCTAATTCACTGTGGCAACTTTATAGAACGTAACTACCATGAATAATGAGAGTTGACTGTAGTTATCATTTACTGAGAGCTTCTTATAGGCCAAATAATGTGCTAGAACCTTATTTAAATTAACCCTAATTCTCAATAACTCTATAAATGAGCTATCATTATCTCCAATTTATAGTTGGTAAAAGCGAGGCCTAAGTACTTTGCCAATGTCTCTAAGCTACAGGTAGGTGAAGCCATGGGTGAATAACATATGACTCTATTGTTCTCTTTCCTTTTTGCTAAATTCGTTTTGTGAACTTGGTACAACTCTGTCATCTCCACATCCCTGACTCCCACTAGGTTTCTTTGCCATTGTGTTGAGCACAATACTCCCCCAAATCTCTGCACTCCACAGACACACAAATGGAAACTTCCCTGTCTATTCTGGGATGATTTTACAGAGAGGGCGCCATGCGTTTGATGCTCCAGCCACATCCTCCTCCTCCTCCCCTGTCCTCACCTTGCTTCTGGCAGCCAGTGGCGTTAGGATTTCCAAGTCAAGCAAAAATGTCTCCTAGCAGGAGAGAGAGGAAAAAAGACAAAGAATGGGGATGGGGGGACTTAGAGGAAAAAGAGCTAAAGCGATAGGATGGAGAGGGAACAGGCAGCTGTGACTGTTCAGAAGACACTGAAGGAGTGAAGGGAAAGAGCAAAGGTGGGAATCCAGAAGAGCAGACCCTGAGATGCACCATCACTGACACGTGTAATTCTTTATGTTCTTAAATCACTTTCATGTCTACGATCTCATTTGCATATCACAACCCTTCTGTGTAGGTGAAGGGCACATTCTTTTTTCTACTTTATTGATGAGAAAACTGAGGCGTGAAAAGCTCCAGTGATTTGCTCAAGGTCACAAAATTCTAATTTACTCCACATTTGGAATAGGCTATTTATATCACACAGCAAAACTCAGTGATTGCTTTCCTGGTATTTCAATTTTTAAGCCAATATCATGAACGGTCTATAAAGAAGCAAAGATATTTTCCTTTATTTTATACTTGAATCCTCGAAATAACTATTTCAATATTTTAACATGACTACCAACGTCTCTAAATTTCATGGCTCATGTGGAAGCATTTGACTAAAATATAGCAAAACTACCATTCCTTTCAAGGGGTCAAAGTGTTTTCTGTGGATGGACGTGTGTCATGTGAATGAGGATGGAAGCAGCTTCGCTGTATTCCTCTTCTGGGAATCTTTCTATGGATGTTACTGAAGTCAAGAATAGATCAGAAACGAAGAAAAGATAGGAACATAAAGAATAGCTTTCATGGAAAATTGAAATCGTTCCTTTTAAAGTTCACAATTTCCACCCCGATGGGTGGATGATAGATCCGCAGCCTTGCAGGATGGGTTCTTCCCAGATATAAAGGTGACAGTCACGATAGGATTTTGATGCAACTGTGATTGATGTCAGCAGGTCCAGACAGTGATACTTTATTACAAATTTAAGGGACATTTATTAATCTGATTCAATGGGAGCAGCCCGGGGCTGGATGGGGCTGGGAGATACAAAAGGAAGACACAGAGTATGAGGGTTTTTGGGCCCGTTGGGGATGGAAATTCTACTGATGCGAGTTGTTACCCCCCTGCATGCTGGGTGCCCTCCATGCCCTCCCTTGGTGTCTGCCTGCCATGAACCCTGAGTGGAGCGGCGTTATTCTCCCTACTGCAAGACGGGCTATCTGGGCAGAGTCAGGGACCTCTCCGGCGACCAGGTGGCTGCCCCTGGTTTTTCACCCAGGCCTTTCTTCTCCAGGTGAAGAGCTCCTGTCTAACAGGAAACAGCTAGAGAACAGCTGTGTCACAGCCTAACGTTGGGGCTCAGTCCCTGTGCAAACTGACGCTTGTGTCAATGGTATAGGAATTCAGAATGAGAGCAAGACCCTTCCGGCTAGAGTTAGGGTGGGTTATGCTCATACAGGAGGCAAAACACGGACATCTTAGCGCTACTTTAACAAGTGAAGTGGTTGTGGAAATGTTTTCAGCCTTTTTAATAGAGGAGTTTACTCAGCTAGTTAACAGAATTTTCTTTCTTGGGTTAAATGTAGTCTTTTCTCTTACATCCTTAAGCGTCTGGCTCTCCTGGTGGAGACATGTGAGCCTGCCACAGGCCTGGAATGTCCCCAGGGGTAAGAATAGCCCACAATGAGAGATGACTCCTGTGTCTCCTGGTCACTGCAGTTGTTAGGAGCACTTTGCTCAGCGGCAGACAGCTCAGGGCCGTCTCAACTCGGAGACAGAGAAACCACCCTCCTGCTCCTGGACCCGCATCTGTCCTTTCCTATCTCCCGCTCTCACCGTTAAGTCTTTTGTAGCTAAGATATATTTATTCCTGCAAAGATTTCCCACCTCCTCAGAGAACACAGGCTTCCGTCTCGAGCGGCCTTGAGTCTGTGACACCCTGGGAGCATGGAGCGTCTGGACTTGTTGGGATTCCTCATCGTCACACTGAACTGCAACGTGACCATTGTGGGTGAGTGCCGCAACACCTCCTGAGCTCCTGTGCTGTGTGTTTTCCTCCAGTTGCCTGGCCCACGCCCAAGAGAAAGGCCTGTGCATTGCTGGAGGGAAGGGAGCTGTGGCTTCAAGCTTTCTCCCAACTGCTCCTCTGTTCCGCCATGGTTTCAGGACGTCTTGGGTGTGAGTGTCATTTCTCTCCCGGGGCCTCTCCTCACTGACATGCTGGGCTGAGTCTGAAGACTGAAGCAGGTGGAAGGGTATTTTCGTGTCCCTTTTCTCTGGCTACACGACCAGGAAAAGGAACAATACAACAAAAGTCAAAGAGAAATAGTGCCTCGATTATGCTTTCTTCTTGTTCATCTTTCTAGGGTTTATCCTTGAAGCTTCATTTGTAAAGATTAGTAATTTCTCTTGTGCACTTTAAATCAAATCCCAATTCTAGTTTGGCTATTTTTTTAACAAAGAAAGTAAAAAAGATTTTTGAGTTTGATGCAGACAAGTCAAATTTTTAGTGAGTTAAGAAAAAGGAATTGAGAAAAGCATTAAAATATGCCCATGAAGTGGCTGATATTTTTCTTACTCATTATTTCGTAGAATTTAAACAAAATCAACTGGGTCTTAAAAGTTTGAGTCAATGACTTGATCGTGTAATGACGGTCTTTGAGTTTAACTGCCTTCCTTTACAACAGAGTTCTGGTTTTCCAATACCAGGTGATGTTTTCTGTATCTCCTCACAAAACAAAAGATTTACAAATTATTCTGACTGAGTCTTAAACATGCCCCCAAAATAATTGACTCATGACATGAAAATAGGACTTTGAAGTTATTCTGATTTCTAGGTTAGTCTCATTTATTCATGATAAATTAAAGAAAAATAAACCTCAATTCACAATAAGTGGAATAGCAGGAAACGAATTCTTAATTACTGAAAAATCTGAAAAATTTAATGTTCTTAAAGAAATTTTATGTCAAGGACCATAAAGCAACATCAAATACAAGCCCTCTGATTAAATATCTTGTGGACCATCATCATATATAAAGATTTACTGACATTGGCAGCTTATATTTTTTGCTAGTTACAGGAATGTGCTAACATCCTTTAAAAAGCTTATTCTCCCAAGAAGAGTGAGATCTTACTCACATCATTAATTAGCTCAGCCCAACTTTCTTTCTAGACCTTTCAGTCTAGGAGACATTACCAAAAGTCTGAACTAGCCGCATCGGATGAAACACTTTTAGTATCTAATGCTTCTTTAAAATCTGCCAATCTCAAAGCATTTTACAGATAAGTAGTTCCGCACAGCGTCTGACACACTGTGAGTGTTTGATAAACATTGTCGAAGGCGCTAACTGGCTGATACTGTGGCTGTGACTGAAATACAGACTCATTGACTTCTCGGTTCTCCAGCCTCAGCCCCAAGACACACTTAAAAATTGTGGCTGGGAGTTAGTATGTTTGTGGGTGGTGACGGTGCCCTTCCCGCTTCCTCTTTTCCAGGGAAGATCTGGCTGATCTTTACGATACTGCTGCGGATGGTGGTGGTTGTCCTGGCCGGGGCCCCCGTCTACCAGGATGAGCAGGAGAGGTTCGTGTGTAACACTCTGCAGCCGGGATGCGCCAATGTTTGCTTCGACATCTTCTCGCCTGTGTCCCACCTGCGGTTCTGGCTCATCCAGAGCGTGTCTGTTCTCCTCCCTTCTGCCGTTTTCAGTGTCTATGTGCTCCACAAAGGAGCCGTGCTCGCCGCCCGTGGACCCTGCGCGCCAGAGGTCCGTCCCAGGGGTCATGACCCCTCCGACCCGATCGCTGGGGATAGGCGCTGCCCACCGCCCTGCAGGAAGGCGCGCAACCTGAACGTGCCAGACTTCTCCTCCGGCTACATGGTCCACCTCTTTCTTCGGACCCTGACGGAGGCGGCCTTCGGTGCCTTGCATTACCTCCTCTTTGGATTCCTGGTCCCAAAGAGATTCTCGTGCACCCGCCCTCCGTGCAGCAGTGTGGTGGACTGCTACGTGTCCCGGCCCACGGAGAAGTCCATCATGATGCTCTTCCTCTGGGCCGTCAGCGCGCTCTCGCTGCTGCTCAGCGTCGCCGACCTGGCCTGCAGCGCG